TGCCTGGCTTCCCGCTCTCTCCCGGCCCCTGACACGCCCTGCCTGTCCCAGCCCGTATCCTCCAGGTTCACCTCGCCCGAGAAACAAAACCCTGATGGAGGCTCCTGAGGACCCACAGCCCCTGTAAGTCACCTCCCAGCACGGGGGGCATGGGGTGGCTCCTCCACTTGTCCCACCAGGGATGAACACTGTCCCCAGGGCCTTCCAGCTCGCCTCCTGCTAAGAGTCGCTAAACATTTAAGCCCATGTTTCCATAACACTGGATGTTTAGGGCAATGCTACAGGGTGTTTGTTGTAAAACACGAGACATTAATTCTGGTTTTCTTCCCTTCAGTAACACTCCTCAGCACTCCCCGGCCCAGCAGCGATGCTCCTGTGCCCAGGCTCTGTGGCCAGCTGGCCCCTGGGTCGCCTCTGCCCTGCGGATGCAGGTCCTACAGCGTTGCTGTTCACCAGCCCCTGCCCTGAGGTAGCCGTGCTGCTGAGAGGAATTTAACAACGCCACAGTCAATTAAAGTCTATAGACTGAAAGATCCTGCAGATCATTAATGCAGGATTGCCCACTAATTTGCTGGAAACTGCTAATGAGGGGGGAAAAAAAAAAAAAAGTAGCAGTAAAATGAGAGAATGAGAGGGCTGTATTTCCCAAAGGGCCCACAACAAGTCAGGTCTCAAATAAGAGCAAAAACCGCACAAACATGAAGGTTTATGTCCATCCACACACAAAAAAATGGGCGACTGCTGCAGAGCGCAAATGGTATCTGCCTGCTTGGCAGCTGAGCTCCACTGTGGGCAGGCTCCGCAGATCTCGGGGCTAAGGGGGGGGTGCAGACTGCCACCAGCAAATGGCACATGAACCCTGAAAGATTAGAGCCACGTGCACCAAGAAGTGAGTGCTGTGGAAAAGGTCCCCTTGGCCAGCTGCTTGCTGAATCATGTAAGGCAGCAGCATGAACCAAAAGCCATCCTCCGGAGAGCCCATTCCATCCTGCCCCCAAACCCAACTTGGTGTGGCAAACAACAGCAACAACAAAAAATCAAAAATGGTAAAACTTTGCAGAGAGCTTATGCAGATTCAAATATTTTGGGGATTTTTGTGTGGATGTGTGACAGCACATTTTAAAACACAACCACTTTTGAAAGCCTCCCACAGGCTTTTCACAAGACACAGGCTTGTATGTGCCTAAGCTGCTCTTTAAAGAAGCCGAGCTCAGTTGCTGCAGGAGATGTTATGCTGCCCACTTGCTCCTCTGGGACTGGCAACCCCAGCAGACTTGCCAACCTGCCCAGCAGCAGGACCTGGGGCTCAGCTGCTTCTTGGGGGACTGGACACTTCTGCCAGGTGGATCACCAGCTGCCCTCATTCCACCTGAACGTCCATCCTAGGTCTCAGCCACCACCTACAATATACTGGGGTCCAACTGGGGCTGTTCCCATTCGTTTTACAACCCATACTGGATGGTTTAACCTGCTCTTCAGGCAGAAGAAAGGCTTCTCACAAACAAGTGCTCATCTGAATCGAGTTTTCTCTCATTTTCCCACTCACACATGTACCTTGTTTTTTCTTGAGGCAATTTGCATGATGAGAGAATGATTGCTCTCCTCCCCTCAGACAGCAACACTGCCTCCAAAATCAGGGTCCTTATATGTAAGAGAAGCAGGACCCCAACCTTTGACCAATCAAGTGCAAGACTCCTCTGGAGGCCAGAGCCATCCCTGACATAGTGCAGAGAAAGGGACCTCAGAGCCCTTCAGTCCGTAAATGCACCATACCCAATACCACCCTGTGACTAAGAAGAATGAGATGAGGTGGCAGAAATTCACCGAAACACTTTGGGTTTAGTTCTGATCTACACTGAGGCCGGCACAACTCAATCAGAGCTACAGCTTATTTATGGACCCATTCAGACCAAGGGCACAGCAAGATGAGCGGACCTCACCCGTGCCTTGTGCTCTGCCCCGCTGCAGATCAGCAGCTCGGACAACAGCCTGCATCCCGCACTGGTGAGGGATGCTCTGGCTGCCTCTTGCTTCTCCCTATATGTGGTGTCCCACTACTGGGCTTCCTGCTACTGCAGGGCTTGATAAAGCTAAAATTGCCCCATGAATGCAACAAAACAAAAAAATATAGATGTACAATCCTCATGTTCAGGACTCGCTAAAAAAACCACCAAGCAGCAGGAGCAGAGGAGGTGCCTGCACTGTGCCCGCACACAGGTGTTCAGCCCACACCTGCAAAATGACCAGAAGGGTGGTCCGAGAGCCTTCCCATGATCCAGCTCGAGCACCACCCTGTTTGTGCAGCTCCACAGGTCACCCCCCACCCTGATGTCCCTTGTCACCCCCCAAGTGCCCTTCGGAGCTGCACACCCTGTGCAGGGGATGCGGCCATGCACGGGGCCCTCAGGGCGAGCACAGGATCCCCACTCGTCCCTGAGAAACTCCGCAGCCGGCTTTGCTTTCACAAGCACAGCTCCTCCATCGCAGCTCCCTCAGTGTGCTCCAGAGAGACAGCAAACCTGCGGTGTCCTGCACTACTCTTTTTTAACTCCGGGAAAACTCCAGCTCTTCAGTGCTACATTGAATAAAAAGCACCATTAGCTAGGGAAGACAATAAGTACTCCTGTACACCATTTCCAGAAATACACCCCAATGCATGCACAAGAGCACATCACACACCATAGTTTACTGCACTAGAAAAATCACACGCAGCAACTCCAGAATCTGTGTCTATGTAAAAGGGAAAGTTCTTTTCATCTGTGGGGTTTTACTAATTTAGCTAGAAATTTCAGTCAAGACATTTTGCCTTTTAGACTGCTGAATTAGACGGCAACTCATCGATCACAACAAAACGTACCCAAGGTAAGATCGCTTTGATGACTTGCAGCTACAAACAAAACAAAACAGTGAGGTACGGTGAAGTTCTCTGCTGGCTGTGTTTAGCATTCACAGAAAGTCTTAAAAATATTTCCCTCTCCCCTTCCGTTATTTCTGAAGATCTTTCAGGGAAAGAAAACAGCTCTTTTGGAGTTCTTGTTCTAGAAATCAGCAAACTTTAATCTGAATTTCTAAAGAATGAGTCATATCTGAGTTTTAAGATGCCTTTCCCTTCCCTCTCTCCCTGCAGTTTTCCTCCGCTCCCCCCAATGGGCCCTGCCAGCCAGAAGAGAGCTTCATCTGGAATACACACAATGTGATTATAAAACATCAACCAAGTGATCAGCCATTGCCACCACACATCAAAGTCATCCCGTGAACAGCAGGCATACGAGATGCTTAGGGGTGTTACGATTAATCGCGGGCAAAGGCCACAAAAGGCAATGAACGTGGTCAAACCTAAGTCTAGAGCCAGCGGTGGCTGCAGGAAGGACCAGGGAGGGCAGGAGGACTCATCACGGTGCAGGAGGGCAGCCGGGACCCCACGTTCCTAACTACATGGCACACTGCCCCGGCAGCCGGAATTGAGAGACACAGGAACAAAGGAGATGGTTACAGAGCCATTGGCAGAGGAGACACAGGCTCGGGTTCTGTTTTCACTGTGCAAAACTGGGGACAGAACAGAAGCATCCCGCTCTTGGTGCAGTCTTGGGTAGAGATGTCCAAATGCGTCAGGTGAGGCTCAGGTGGCCATCCACGCCCTTGGAAAGGACTTCCTATGCACGAAGGTCTGGAGGAGCTGCGAGCAGGAGCGCCCGACCCCCTCGATCTCTGCCAGCCACACTGGGAGCTGGTTTCGCCGCTCCTGGAGAAGTGGGAGACAACTGGAATCCTCTTTCAAAAGGGACACAGAATCACACAAACGCTTGGGAAAGGAGGGGCACAGGGCTCTTGGCAGCTTCACAGAGATCAGCACACAAATGCCACCGCCACGACCAGCCTCTTATTCCTTGAAGAATAAAAGAAACAGAGCCCTTTGTGTCTGCCAGTGAAGGCACGAATTCTGACATTTGACCCCAGGAATTTGGCCTCCATTTCCACTAGAGCCAACCCATGAGCTGCTACGGAGACTCCCACACTGCCACAACACGTGACAGCAGGCGTGCCGGGCTTCAGCTGGGAGGTGGTACTGCAGAACAAGCTGAGCACTGCCACAGCTGCCCATGACAGCAACACAAAAGCTACCCCTGGTGAAGAAACACCTCCAACCACAGCCTGGATGACAGATTTGAAGATGTATTTTGAAGCGGGTTCATGAGTTTAGGAGCACCAGACAGAAGCTGCTCTGGGAAGCACGGCCCAGCAACACCAAGGAAAGCAGCTGCAGTCCAGGAGCTCTACACTTGCACCAGCAGTGCTGCGACACCACCTCGGAGCTGGTGATGCACAGCCACATCCTGACGGGACTCGCGCTCCAAGAACATAATTCCTGAAGGACGCTCCCGAGCCAGCGAGCGCTCACCTCGCAGAGCACTGCAAGTAAACCTGTGTGGAGCGATGGCAGGCTTGGCAATAGGTATCAGGTGGGCCCCAGCCATAATAGCAGGCTGTAGAAACACAAGAAATTCAGGTCCTGCTCTCAAATCCAGACACGATGAGGAGGGGCTACAGGCTGGAGCGCAGCCAGGACAGTCCCTGCCTGCCGACAAGGACTCTTGCTCCAGGTGGAGATCATACAGAGTTTATCCATCAACACTTTGGTGCACTCATTGTGCCCCAACCACTCCACCGTCCATCATCACTCGCTGACACAGGCTGGGCTTAAACCACTG